GTGAGGATGGCCAGGGGATGAGTTTCCTGACAGCAGACTTGCAGGTGAAGGTGGTGATGGTTTTAGCACTGTTGGGGCACACGAGCTACATGAAGAAAGAACCTCACAAACTTGGGGCAGCCTGCAGTGGCTGGATTCCCTTTCCTTGATGTGCTGGTGTGGGCTCTGCTCATACCCCAAGTAGTTGCCAGGAGAGCCCTGGTTGGGAATAGTTCCTTTTTCATCTTATTTAGCCTCTTCCCCTGAATTAGTTCGTGTTTAATTGCTGAATTTTCCTCAAGCTGAGGCAGCAGCTATACCAGACAGATGACTCTCAAGAAGGATGAAGTGTTGGCTCCTGCTCAGCTGGGCCAGGCACAATGCAAGATACTTTTGGCACCTTTCTCTGTGTTACTAAGGCATAATCACTCTTGGAGTCTTTGAAGATATTTGTACAACATTAAAATCTTGGGCTTTGGACTAAAGCTTTGTTTGGAAATACTGTTGAAATGTTTGTCAAAATACAAAGGCAAAAACTGTCAAAAGACAGATTGCACTGAGCTCACCCTCTGATCATGCCTTGCTCAGGACTCTTCTGTGCAGTAGAAATTAGAGGTTCAGCTTGTTTGAAAAAGCCTGTCTTTGAAAAAGTTGGTGCAGGTAAATCAGTTAAAGTGAATAAAGTTTGGCTTTCTGGTTTCAGAGTATGGCTTTTACAGTGTGTACAGCATTTTAAAGACAGAACTGTTAAACTGCATGGTCAGCTAACAAAATGAATAAAAAAACCAAAAATTCAGTTTTTAGAAGAAGTTAATTTTGTTTGCTAAACAGGCCTGTCTGCTTTTGGGAAATTATACTGATTCAGCTAGTTTTCATGGCCAAAGTCTTAGATTTTGTTTGTACCAAAGCTCAAAATGAAGTCCCAAACTTTTTGATTCAAAACAAAAAGTTTTCCACATACAACAAAATACTCCACAGCTGATTTGGATAGAGCTGGCCAGATGGATGTCAGGTAGGGATACACAGTTTTCTGTCCATTTAGCACCTAAAGTAATTTATAATTATGACAGGGAAGTGTCTGAAGGTGATGCCTTTGGCATGTATTAATTGCTTTGGGGTTGCACAGTAGTTTTCAACAGGGATCATTGGTGCATTCCAAAACACACGTGCTTTGGGTGCTTTTTTTTCCCTGCACTTCTGAATGTGACTGTTTTTCAAAGTGGAGAAAGATACTTTATCCTGTTTTTTATAATAACTGTACAGACTAAAGTCTGTAGTTTTTCTCACTTTAACAAGTAAGCCAGGCCACGGTTTTAACCAGTACTCAAGGGGAAAAGGCTTGAGTAGAAAAATAATGTACATAATCAGTGGAGTAATCCTTACATCTGATCTGAAGCAGAAAATTAATTTGTTTTAGGAAAGCTATAAACCTTTTGGAATTGAAGCCCAGGCATGTAGAGTTGAAAATGTTCTGCTCTGTCAGTAAGTTAATGCATAAGAAAATGAAAGAGAGGGCTGCTGTGGATGCAGGTGCTTTGCATATGTGACATAGGGTCTAGCAGAGGGCTCCCATCACGGTCAGGGGCTGGAACACACGGGAATAGAGAGCTGGGTTTGTTCAGTTGTAGGAAGAATAAGATTAAAGGAGGCCATACTGCTGTCTTCAGCTCCCTTTTGGGAGAAAATAGAGAAAGTGGAGTCACTTTCTTGTAGGTACATGGCTGTACGCTGAAAAACCACAGATGTGAGTTGGAACATGGGGAATTAGATAGAAATTTTAAATTTACTTCTTTTACTATGAGTGTAGTCAAATACTGAAACGGGTTCTGAGAGGCTGTGGTATTGTTCATCTTTGTAGATGCTTGAAATTTGAGTGGATGAAGCTCTTATGTAGTTAGATCTGCTTTAGGAGGAGGTTGAGGTAGAGGCTTCTCCCAAATTACTGATCAGGAAATGAGAGGCACCTTGGGGAAAGCTGGGAAGCAAGTCCAGGAGGGAAATTAGCATGGTGAAATCCTGAAACGATGATGTTGGTAACTTGTGTATTTCAGGAAGGTGCTTTCTCTCTGATGTATTGAATGGATTTGTTCTTTAAAGAAATGGAGGAGTTTGCCCCTAAGGCTGTGTCTGTCCTGTGGCAGCAAACTCTGAGCAGGGCTAATGGGGTACCCTGGCTCTGGGGGGCTCAGCTCAGCCCCTCGGCCACCCCTCTGTCACTGCTCCTCCCCTCTTCCCATTGGAGAGGGTATTTTTCATCAAGATGAAAGAGATGAGAGAAACTAAATTTAGTATCAGAGTTATTAGAGACATTAAGATATTACTAATGAGTTCTAATTTAATCTCGGCACCCAGGCATGTATAGCAGTGAAACCTTTTATTAGGTTTCTATAATTGTGTTAAAAGTGATACCCTGAGGGTAATACTGGAGCAGATGAGATTGCCAGGCTGTGTGTATGACAGCACTGACCTGACAGTGCTGTGAGGAGAGCAGGGCTTGCTCTGCTGGCCTTTCAATGCTCTGTGTTTTACATCAGGCTCCTGAACTGTCAGGGGCTTAGTGCTGTTTCTATTTAAGAGCGCTGGTTCTATTTAAGAGCGGCTTCTGTGACATTTTGGCTCTGGACCAACAAATCCCAGTCTTCAGGCTCCTGGAGCGTTCATGGGGGGAGATAGTTGGCTGGGGAATCCCAGGAGAGCAGTTCCAGCTGAGATATCCATATCTTTAAAGCTTTCTGGAGGAGAGGCAGGTTCCCGTGTGCCTGGCTTCAGAGGGGAGTGCTGGGGACAGCACTGTCCGCACAAAGCTCCTGCCATTTCAAACCTTTCTTGATACAGGCCTGAGCTTTGCAAAGCCCCGTGGAAGAAGCCTGCAGAGGGGTGCTGTGAGGAGAAATGCTTTGGGTGTTGGCATGTCAGCACTGCAGGGGCCGAGCAGCACTCAGAGCCCCTGTGCCCGGACCCCTGTTTGGGGATGGCCGCGTTGCTCTGCGGCCTGTATCGCAATTTCAGTGTGCCTCTGTGTGCCAGCTCAGAGCAGTGCTCCTTCCCTGACCTCCTTGTGACAGCACAGACGTGTTCAGGGCCTGAGCTGGATCAGGGAACCCCTCCAAGTTCAAATTAGCCTGTCCAAGAAGTTAATTTCAAGCTGGGACAGTTAATTTCAAGCCGGGCGCAGCCGAGGTGAGGAGCGTGCAGCCCTCCAGCTGCTGCTTCTGCCAGGGCCTCCAGCAGGCTTTGGGGCTCACACTTGTGAAAAACGAGGTTCACTCACTTAATAAATTATAAAAGGTTTAATATCAACAAAAAGACAATTAGGAGACAAAGATAATGAAGCAAAGGGTTAAAGCAGCCGGGTGCCCTGGTGTGCTGCCAGGAACACACCTGATATCTTTGGAACACTCCTTTTATCCCATTCTGCTGTGGGGTTTTAATGCATATTCCTATTTTTCCAAGAGGTATTTTGCATGGCTACGCCCTGAATCCGCCTTATTAGAGCATGCATCTTAAAGATTTTATTTCCCTTTATCACATTTTCATTTGGGCTGGGGTTCCTTCTTCTGCTGCCGGTCAGTGTTGACAGCAGCCTGGGCCCCATCATTTGTTTCCTGGAGGTTATCTTGCTTTGCAGAGACAGGACATTGCCCCAAAATCCAAAATTCTTCTTGACCTGTGCCTAAGACTTGCTAGCAGGAGAAAAAGAAAAAGACATAGCAGAAGCATATAACATATAACATTCATCTTAATACTTGTGAAAGCCAATATCACAATATGGATTTATAACACACTGCAGTGGGGAGAGTTGTTGTTTCCCATTTCTGAGATTAGATTGAAGTGTGTAACAAACACACCTCCAAACTGGTGTCCTGATTCAGTTCAGTCTGTGACAATGTCATCTGTTTGCAAACTTACATACAAATGTAGTAAATTGAAATATTTTACTTTGGTTTTGACTTTCTTGACATGAATTAGCTTCACTTTCAAATAAAAGCGGCTATAAACTGGAAGCAACATTTTCTAGTCAAACGAGATGTTTCAGCTGACTCAATGTTTTTAATTTTTTTGCCCTGGTGAAGGGAGATTTATGGAAGCTTCTCCCTGTGGGTTTGGTCTCAGGACCAACTGCTTGAGGTGAAGGGAGGGAAGCCCCTGACACACTGTCACACTAAATACTGTGTGACTCTTTGGGCTCTGCTATTTATGTGCACCCCTGCTTTTGGATTTGCTTCCTTAACAGCCTCTTGCTTTTTTTCCCTCCCCTTCTAAAAACATGGACCTGTGGAGCATCAGAAAATACTCATCTGCAGTCTGTACCAGATCCTTTCTGGCACCTGCAAATCCTGTGGTATAGAACAGACACTGAGTGTGTCCATCACAACTCTGTGATGTAGCTTTAAGTTTCCTTACCAAGGATATTAAACTTACTGAAACACATACAAATATGGAATGATTTAAGAAAAAATAAAAACATTCTACAAGAATGACGTTTTTAATCAGTTTCCAACTTTTTCTCTAGTTGCGAGGTGAGAGTGATCGCAGTGCTTTAGATTTTATTTTATTTTTTGGTGAGCTCAGAGATTTTTTAAAAGTGTAAGAGGTGAATGGGTGATTCCTTGAGGCACAACATGGGTGAGTATTGGATCCTAATTTGAGGCATGGTTATCACTCACAGGTTCAAGTTTTGGTATGTTTAGTAAAAGGTGTTCAGTGGAAATACTGCCCCTTTGATGGTGGAGCTTCATGACAGTGATACTGTTGTGCCCCGACTGTGTTCAGGTAACTTTTGTGCCCAGTGTTCTTAACAGTGTAAAATAGTTTATCAGCTGATAATCTCATGTTACTCAAATGAAATAATCCCAATTTTGCGTACTTCTGACAGCAGCTGAGTTTCACATTGTCATTTCTTGTGGGTTTTGTCTTGTTTCATATTTTAAAATGTGGTGTTTCTGATGTTAGGATGCATTGCTTTCATGGCGGAAGTTCAAGGGTTTTCTAATTTTTGTGTTTTTCTTGTTTGCTTTAAGAGTCAGATTTACAGATCTGTCAACACAGGGCACCAACATGTTGCACCAAAAAAATGGAAGAAAGCTACCAGGCAGCTGTCCGAAGGGAGAGGACTCAGAGCATCCAGGCACTGAACTTTGAGCTGAAGTACATGATAGTTGGTCACATCACAGCTTTTCAAGGTAGGAAACTTTGACTAATTTATAACAGTAACCTCTGCAATCCAAAGGAAAGCTCTTATCTTTATTTTTCATTCCTCGTCACTGCCTTGTGTGGTTTGCTTCTTCCCAGTTCTTTGATGATTGTGCTTTTGGATAGAGGTGATGGCACTTAATCTTGACTGGTATGTTAAGCATCTTCCTAAATCTAATTAGGAATAGATTTGAGACCGTGTTTTTGGGGTTAGTGTAGAATTTTAAAGGCGTTTCCAAGTATCTTTTCAGTGCCTGCTGGTCGTGCTTTTTGATATCCTCTTGCCAAACCATTTTTTGGGTATAGAACATTAAATGAAGATGCATTTGTTTGTTGATGCTGAAAAATAAGCACTCTAATTGCTATGTCAAATGAGAATACAGCTCTTGCTTCACAACAAAATGCAAAACCTTGCCCTAGCAGGCACATACCAAACTGTTTAGTTCCTTCATACAGGTGGTTATGGTACTGTCACAGGGAGGAAAATGCTTGGGTAGAACTGTGCACTGCAGTGTTGAGTACCTGGAGGCTTTTCTCTAGAAGGGCTTTTAAATATAGGCTGTGAACTTGAAACTTATGAGAGTTGAGTGATTAAATCAGTCAATGGGTGATGAATCCAGCTTATTGACCTCTGTGGGTCTAATTAGGTGCTCAATTTTAACTCTGCTTTGCCATGTTCAGTGCTGAGCACCCTCATGGAATGGCTTTTGAAATGAAGCTGGAAGTTATTAAAATACCAAGTGTTGAGGCCTAAATGATTAAGCCTATTGTTAGAAGTCAGGTTTTATCAGTAGTACCTTTTAATGTCTGGTTTCTCCCATCTGAGTGAAAATGCTATAAATAAAAGATCTGAGTGACAGCTAATAAAAGACAGCATATTATCTAAAATTGACAATAAGTGATGGTGGAAGTCTGAAAGAGACATGAAGGGAGCAAGAGAAATTTTCTTCTTCTGCTTTTGTTTTTTATATATATCCTTTTTACCCATGAGTGAGAAATGGTATTTTGGTTTATTTTACAATTAATTTTTGAAAATGTTTGATATCCCCTTTCATTAAAGAATTGGCTTGGAGGGCACTTCAGAGTAGCACTGTAGTGAAAGGGTGGCTGTTGGCATTGTTAAATGCTGGTTATTCATTCAAGCAATCTTTCAGTATTATGACTGAATAAAGGTAAGGTCAGAATAGATTAACCTACCAGCCCCTTTAGGTCAAGCCAGAGGCTTTATTGTCCATTGCTGATGAAGCCTTTTGATGGAATGAAAGGGGTAGTTAGACATTTCACACAGTTTAAATTTACAAGCATTTTCTGGGAGTGGGTAAATAGGTTGTTTGTTGTGACTTGCTGTGGCTGGCCTTCTGTCTGCATTAGGTGGGAATACTTGAAAAATGTAACTTTGCTGGCTTGCATTGGGAGCTGCTTTTCTTCTCTGGTTTTGTCCCAGGTGTCAGTGAAAAGCCTCTCCCTTTATCTTGTGCTGGGTAAACATTCTGTTGCTAAGAGTGGTGCTGTTCCAGACATTTACTGAGAAAGAAGATCTTTGCATTGAATTAGCTCTGTCCTTTTGGTCTGTTTTCACTTGTTGCTATTTTGAATGATAAAGTGAGTGTGCCAACAGCACATTTTACAGTCGGAGCAAATTAAACCCTGATTTTAGAAGCTTTCAGATGCCTTTTAAATCTCATGTTTCTTGCAGCAGTGAGAACTGACTCAGACTTACTGAAAAATAGGACTTTATTCATTGGTATGGAGTGGTGTTTACTTGTACAATTTTCATGCACAATTTGCTTTTATATATACACACTTCTAGTACTGTTGGTTTAGTCAAAGCAAAGCAGTAGTTAGCCTTGCTGCCTGCTTCTGAGGAAAGGAAATTTTAGCTGCTTTTTATGCACTTCAGGCAGACAATATTGTTAATATTACACCAAAACTGATGAAATAACTTTCAAGATTACTGTGGTGTAAGAAAAGGATTTGCAGTAGTCCATCTCTGAGAACATAGTGGTGGGAGTTAAATTTCACTGGGAAAAAAAGACAAATTTTTTGTAAGGAAAGAGACATCCAAAGAGAATGTTGGGGCTTTTCATTTTTTTTTTTTTAGTTATACCTTATGTTCTTTCAAAGAAGTCAAAAGGCAGTTCTGGGGACATTTAAGTGCCACAAGTATTAATAATAAGGAGCTTCCTCACGTGAGTAGGAGTTTTGATATGAATTTGGTTAAATATCCCCTCTACACTGCCTTGGCACTGCAGCTGGCTGTGGGTATTTTGGACTTGAAGAGATACTGTTTTGGGTTGTCTTCTTGAAAGTGAAAATGTTATTTAAGTAGCTTTTCCCACAGCTGAAATAAGACAGTTTTCACAGGTGCTGGATTTGGTTGTGCAAAATAATGAATCTGTAAGACCTGATTAAATATATCACAGCTGTGGGCAGGCTTGTTGTATTTGGGCTAGTGCCCAATCCTTATATATGGACAGCTTTAGCACCAAGGTTCAGTCCCACTATTCTTCCCCTTAAAGTATTCAGTATTAGCAAGTGATTTTTGTTCAGACACTTTAATAAATCAAGCTCCTGCATGGATGTGATTTGCCTGTGTCTCAGCTGCTGGCAGCACTGGTCTGAGTAGGAAGAGCCCCACTGGCACCAGTTGCAGGCTCAAAAATGCCCTCCCCATGAAAAAGAGGAGGGGAGGAAGGGCCAGAGGCAGGAATGGAAGGGTCAGCTGGCTGCTTGGGACGTGCAGCATCAGAGTCAGCTCCTGTAAAATCTTACAGCAACACAAAACCTGGGGTCTGCCACGCTGAGTGCAAGCAGGGCCCTGCGGGAGGGTCTCAAGGAAAGCCTTCACTTTCTCCTCATCTTCTGCTCCGTGGTGGAGCCTCAAGGTCATAAACCATGGCTTTAGTCCCTCTCCAGGTGCTCCAAATGGAATCACAGACAAGAGGAGTGCATGAGATGAGTAAGGGACCCAGGCTGTAACAGGAGCAGTGTAAGGGAGGAGGATGTGCCTGTTGTGATGATCCTCCCTCCCTGTCAGTCTCTCTCTGCCTCTCCACAGCTGGCTTTACTGTAGATGCATTTTGGAGCAGGTCACTATGTCCCATCCAAAGATGTGCCTGGCTTTGCTGCTGTGGCTGCAGCCTGAAATGCCCAGCAGAACTATTTAAATGAATGATGAAACAGGACACATTCATTTTGTGTCTCACTTTGCCCTGTGATAACATAAAGATTCTATTTTGAACTTACTGTTTTCTTTTAGGCTTGAATGTAAACAAATGCATTGTTTTAGATGGATGGCTCTGGGGTGATGATACCTGTTACTTGGCAGAGTCTTCCATCCTTGCCCCAATTTCCTCATGCAGTCCCTGCACTCCTTGGGGACACTTCCAGGTATGGCAACTGCTTCATTGTTAGTGGATTAGGAGTGATGTGGGTGTGCAGGCTGAAAGGTGCTGTCAGAAGAGGTGTCAATAATCTGACAGGAAAGCTTTGTTGTGGTCAGGCAGCAGAGGGAACCTGGCCTCCCTTTTCTGTGTCCTTCATGGAGTGCTAACAGGTGCAAGGTTAAGGACCCACAGACAGCTTGGCTCTGCTCCTGTCATCATCTGCTGAGGCTAATTTGAGGTAATGAGAACCCAAACACTGCTAATTTATTTGTTCTGCCTGTGGTCTCTGCAGAGAGGCAGAACAAGTACTTTTAAAGCTACATCACTTTTCAGTCACCAAATCAGCAGCTATCAGAGATCCGGTGAAAAACATTGAGCTCAGCAGTTTAAAGAAGTTACTGTTCTCTGCACTTGTTATTACAGCAGGCAACAGGAATTGTTCACTTAGCCTCTGAAGAGAAAACTTCCATGAACGAAGCTTGTTGGTCATAAAGCACTAATTTGTCATGCTTTTCTAAAATAACATTCATTTGACCTTGAGGGTTGGGTGCTGGGACCAGTTCCAGTGTTCTCCCAGCTACAGGAGGGAAGGTGAGCTTTGGAGCTCTGTTCTTCTCACTCCTAACCCACAGGGTTTGGCAAACCTGTGCTCACCCTCTGCTTTCTGTGGAATGGGAAGATGCTGGTTGGGAAAGCACCTTGCTGCACTTCCCAATAGCTGCAGTTGCCCTGACATTGCAGTGCATGCACATTGGTTGGTCCTGTTGCCATCTAATCCAAGCAGGCAACTTGGGAAGGACAAATGAATGATGGAAATGATGGAAAGGCAAGCTTCTTGTAGCAGGCATGGAGTCCAGAACTTCTGGCTGTCAGTAAAATGCCTGGAAGTTTATGCCTACTTTATCCACAAAGTCCTTAGGCACAAAGGTTTTCCTCTGAAAGCCTCCATGGGGAATGGGGATGACTGGATGGTGTCAGGGGATCTTGGATGGAGTGGGCCCATTAATCAACTGATCCAAACTCTCCCAGAAAGGAATAATACACTACACTGCACTGTGTGGAGTCAAAAACATTTTCCATTTTCATTTGGCTCTGTTGCATTGTTGCTGATAGTTATTTTTACTGAATTTCAGAATATCAGCTTGAAATAGGGGTGTCTGGTTAATGGTGCTGAAGTGCAGTGACATTTACAAAACAAAGACTTGGCTGTAGAAGTGCACTCTGGTTTGAAGTAAATTACTACATGAAGTGTAGCCACAATGCTGGAGATGGATGCAATCCAAAATCAATGAGCTATTTAAAAAAAAACCCCAACCATCACCAGCAGAAACCTGCCAAAGCTCACCAGCAGTCCTTCTGGTTCCTGTTATTTACTGCTGGATTATAGAAATGCAGAAGTGTTGTTTTCTAAATAGGTTTTTGGAGTCCTGTACTGCTTGGTCATTTACTCAGACAAATTGTTACCTACCCTTCTCCACTTGGTTTGTACTCTGCTGACCTGTGAGGTGAAAGTTGCCAGGATGCAGAATTTAGTTTTGGCTCTAGGCAATTTTTTTTTCCTACAGAGAGAGAGGCTCTGCTGGAGTGTTTGTGTCCCCCTCCTG